AATCGGAGTCGCCCACCACCTTTATGTGGTGTGATGAAAAGCAGACAGCTGCGCTTCTCTGATTCTCCCCAACAATGTACAGCCTGAATCTAATCATGACAAGACATCAGACAAAGACAGACTTTGGGACATGCTACAGATTAACTGGCCTGTCATCCTCAGAAGTCATGGAAGTCGGGAAGACTTCTCCAGAACCATGTAGTCCAAAGAGATGTAACAACTAAATGTGGTCTTGAAATGGATCCTGAAAAAAGGACATTGCTGGGATGTTTGGCAGCATTTGAATGGGATCTGAGGATTGTATCAGTGTTGATGTTCTCAATCTGATGGTTGTACACAGCATACACGGGGATATCTGGGGTGATGGGGTATGAGGTCAGTAACTCACTCCCTCATGATTCAACTTTTCTTTACATTTGAGGTGGTTAATAAACCACAAACATATACAAGGGGCCTTCAAAAAATTCATGGGAAGGTTCATATTGTCTTTTCATTCTACCTTCCCAGGAAGCTTTTGGAATCCCCTCAAGCACATTACTTGCTCGGGCACCATGTGGCTTGTATTGATTGGGGGCTTATTTGTTAGGGATTGTGTGAAGAGGGGGAGGGGCTTACTCATCTCAGCCATCCTGATTCCCAGGCAGTGGGAGGTTGGGGAGGGGCCTTTTTTTCTTTTTTGCCTGCATTGATTCCTGACACTGCCCCATCACTGCAGAACGCTGACGCTTCACACACAAGTGTGCTTTGTGGTGTGTGCAGGACTTTGGTGCGTGTTCTTGTGGAGTAGGAGAGAGCCCTTCTGGAGTAGGAGAGATCGTGATACCTTACTTGAGATGAGGATTATGGTGATGAAATAGTAACGGCAGCGAGCAATACCTCCATAGTCCTTCTTAAGGGCCAGGCATGGTCTAAGCACTTGGAATGTTGGATATGTTAACCAGTTTAATTCTCCTAATTACCCTATGGGGTAGGTGTACTTGATAATTTTATTTTACAAATGAGGAAACCAGGGCAAAGAGAAGTTAAGTAATTTGCTTAAGGCCACACACAACTAGGAAGTGGTGGAGCCTGAGTTCATATTTATTTATTTACTGAGTTGAGTTGCCTTAGCTAGCTAGGTAGGGGACTGTTCCAACGCCCCTCATTCACCCATTCATTGGTTCAACAGTTTGGTGCTGAGTGCCTGTAAACACCAGCCCCTTTCCAGATGCTGGGGAAATGGGTACAAGGCAGCCAGAGCCCTTGACCTCATGGAGTTCGAAAAATGACCTGAGATGCGCTGCCCCAGTGTAGAGTCCAGACAGAGACCTCACTCTGCCTCGCATGCACAGGGAGCATGCATCTTGGCTGGCCAGCCTGGTCAGACAGACCTCACTCTGCCTCGTGTGCATAGGGAGCATGCATGTTGGCTGGCCAGCCTGGTCAGACAGTGACCTCTCTCTGCCTCGTGTGCACAGGGAGCATGCATGTTGGCTGGCCAGCCTGGTC